GTCATTATTTCATTCGTGCATGTCATCATTTCATTCATGCATGTCATCATTTCATTCGTGCATATCATCATTTCATTCATGTATGTCATAATTGTATTCGTATATTTAATCATTTGATGTCACCATTTCATTTATGCATTCATCATTTCATTCGTATATTTAATCATTTGATTTCATCATTTCATTCATTATGTCACTGTTTAATTCGTGCATGTCATCATTTTATTCATTTATGTCATCATGTCATTCGTGCCTATAATCATTTCATTCGTATATTTCATCATTTCGTTCGCACTTTTTTCATTTCATTCGTACTTATCATCATTTCGATCGTACATGTCATCATTTTATTCGTGCTTATTATCATTTCATTAATGCATGTCACCATTTCGTCTGTGCATGTCATTTCATTTGCACATTTCTTCATTTCATTCGTACATGTCAGATTTCATTTATGCATATCATCATTTCATTCATGCATGTCACCAATTCTTTCTTGCATGTCATCATTTCATTCATGTATGTCATCATTTCATTCGTGCCTATAATCATTTCATTCGTATATTTCATCATTTCGTTCACACATGTTTTTTGTACATGACATCATTGCATTTGTACTTGTCATCATTTCATTCGTATCATCATTTTATTCGTGCATATTACATTTCATTAATGCATGTCACCATTTCCTTCGTGCATGTCATCATTTCATTTGTGTCAGTCATTTCATTCGCACATTCAGTCAGTCAGTCAGTCATTTAATTCGTGCATGTCACCATTTCGATCGTGCATGTCATCATTTCGTTCGTGCATGTTATTTAATTAGCACATTTCTTCATTTAATTTGTGCATGTCATCATTTCATTCATGCATGTAATCAATTCATTCGTGTATATCACCATTTAATTAGTGCATGTCATCATTTCATTCATGTATGTCATCATTTCATTCGAGCATCTCATCATTTCATTCTTGTATGTCATCATTTGATTCATGTATTTCACCATATAATTCGTGCATGTCATCATTTCATTTATATATTCATCATTTCATATTTCATTTCATTCGTGCATGTAACCGTTTCATTCGTATATTTAATCATTTGATGTCATCCTTTCATTCGTGCATGTCACCATTTAATTCGTGCATGCCACCATTTCATTCGTGCATGTCATTATTTCATTCCTATATTTAATCATTTGATGCCACCATTTCATCATGTCATCATTTTATTCATGTATGTCATCATGTTATTCGTGCCTATAATCATTTCATTCGTACATTTTATCATTTCATTTGTACTTGTCATCATTTCATTCGTACATGTCATAATTTCATTCGTGCATGTCATCATTCCATTCGTGCATGTCATCATTCCATTCGTGCATGTCATCATTCCATTCGTGCATGTCATCATTCCATTCGTGCATGTCATCATTTCATTCGTACATGACATCATTGTATTCGTACATGTCATCATTGTATTCGTACATGTCATCATTTCATTCGTACATGTCGTCATTTCATTCGTACTTGTCATCATTTCATTCTTACATGACATCATTTAATTCGTGCATGTCACCATTTCGTTCGTGCATGTCATCATTTCGTTCATGCATGTCATCCTTTAATTCGTGCATGTCATCATTTCATTCATGTATGTCATCATTTCATTCGTGCCTATAATCATTTCATTCGTATATTTCATCATTTCGTTCACACATGTTTTTTCGTACATGACATCATTGCATTTGTACTTGTCATCATTTCATTCATATCATCATTTTATTCGTGCATATTACATTTCATTAATGCATGTCACCATTTCCTTCGTGCATGTCATCATTTCATTTGTGTCAGTCATTTCATTCGCACATTCAGTCAGTCAGTCAGTCATTTAATTCGTGCATGTCACATTTGGATCGTGCATGTCATCATTTCGTTCGTGCATGTTATTTAATTAGCACATTTCTTCATTTCATTTGTGCATGTCATCATTTCATTCATGCATGCAATCAATTCATTCGTGTATATCACCATTTAATTCGTGCATGTCAT